CTCCTCCTCCTCCTCCTCCTCCTCCTCCTCCTCTTCTTCTTCTTCTTCTTCATCATCATCATCATTTTTTTCTTCCCTGTGTAATTGATACATTCTGGAAATTGCCCTTTTAGAATCAACCCCCATAATTTCCAGCTCAAAACAAAAACGAGAAAAATAATAATAATTCCTATGTCTGCCTGCCTTTAGCTCATAAATCCATTCTCTAATGTACTCAAGTCAATCTCTCCTACTCTTCTCTGTTTCATAAATAAATTCTTCATTTATCAGCGATGGGATATATCATTCATTATTGAACAGAATGCCTCCAAGTATTTGGCAGCCACCTCTGAAAAGAAGGAAAAAATAAAAAGGAGGGTTTTTTTTTTTGTTTCTTACTCTGCTTTTCCTGAATGATAATGAATGTTCCAGTACACTAAATCATTCAAAGGGGTCATCAGGATTGATGAATCTATGTCTGATAAATACTGGCTTACTTGGTGATTTCTTTGTCAGTGACAAAGCAAATCTCATTTTTCACCTGCTAATAGTTGCAGAGGTTTATCCTTTGCTTTCTAATCACTCTAAACATGATAATTAGGGGGGTCAAAGCCCCCCCAAAATATATTAATTTAATATTGAAGTTTGACAGGGGCAGGCTTCAGCAAAATGACAAACAACCATTATTCATGTTGGTGACAACCGAGGTAATCTGTTGTAGATACCAATAGGTCACCCCACTTGCTTTAAAATTTCCTAGGAGGTGTACATAAATTTCGGTTGAAATGCTATGCGAAGCACAAATGGGAAATTATAGTGGTGGCTCCTTCATCAGCAATTTTGTGCATTAAATAAAAAAATTATCGTGGTGTTCATATATTGAATGTTAAGATGCGTTCACTGTCACCAATGAACGTTTGAGACTTAATGAATTTCATAGAGTCGTTTTAACTCCATTTGCATCCGGGTCAACCTATAAAGCTTTAGACAGTTGTCAAGGATTTAGCTATTTATAAAATCACAGTTCTCAGTGATGTAGGTGGGGATAGGTGAGACATTCGTTTGATTGACTCAATGCAAGCCTGTTTAAATTGCATTTCTTGATCAATGCATGCTTTTTTCCATCGGTATTTTCACTTTATCAAGCTTTGCCAAGGCTTGCTATATGAAATATACATATGTTGGATAGAAATATATACGTATTGGTCAGAGGTGGGTTTCTCGCTCCGTTCCAACCGGTTCNTGGGGGGTGGCAGTCTGCCTTCAACATCATTGATGAGACTGAGATCATCTTGTGCCATTAGGTGACAAGAAGGAATCATGATATATAAAGGACAATAAAGATTCTTTCTTGTCACCTAATGGCACAAGATGATCTCAGTCTCATCAATGATGTTGAAGGCAGACTGCCACCCCCCAACAAAGAATCTGGCTTGTATTGAAAGGCCTGGAGTGGGGGGGGGGCAGAAATGAGGAGAGAACTATTCTCTGCTCTCCTCAAAGCAGATACTTCTGGCTAATTTTTGCATTATAGGGCATTCTTTTCCTGTATGGGCGATGAGGATCTGACGCAAAATTCTTCCCACTTTCCTTTTTCTTAGATAGGCAACAAAAGAAGAATTGAAGAATTCCATAATATTTTTGGTTCTCTCTCCCCATCATAAAGAGGTAAAGTTTTAGGCAGCCAAAACTACTACTATGTATTAGCATCGTAGTCTCCTGGCTAATGTAACATCACAATCTGGCAGGCAGGCAGGTGGGCAGGCAGGGAGGCAGACAAATATATGTTTTTTAAATTTTCCCAATCCAACCAAACATTGGAAATAAAGTAAGCATGGTAGCAAGGAAGTGGTGGGATTCAGCCAGTTTGCACCACTTCGGGAGAACCGGTTATTAGCTTTCTGAGCAGTTTGGTGAACTGGTTGTTGGAAGAAATCATTAGGGCAGAAAATCAGTTGTTAAATTATTTGAATCCCACCACCGCAGCAAGGGTTCTGCCTGCCTGCCTGCCTGCCTACCTCTACAATTTCTAACTACCTGTAGTCTACATTATGTAGTGCAGTGGCAAATATATTATATAGAAGCTGTGAATAGAATCATATCATTTAAATAATACTAGAAGTAACCCACATGCGCTCTACATGGGGCTGCCCTTGAAGAGTGTTTGAAGACTTCAGTTAGTCCAGAATGCAGCCGCACGAGCGATTGTAGGGGNTCAGTAGCATAGAAATAAAACTGAGCACTGAAGGTCACGAAAATATGGCAGTCAAGCAATTTTGTATTCATCCTCTCCAAAAATGAACTTGTCATTAGGGATGGAACAATTGCAATATAATATCCCCCTGTATCAATTCAGACAACATATGCAGAATAATATTATTAACACTGGGATCAAAAACTAGTGAAATACACCAGATAATTAAGATTATCTTTCATATCACTGTTGGTCATCTCACAGAATTATCCAGGCACTTTATCTATGTCAAAGAAAAGTTTTAGCCCTGAAGTTAGATTCAAATATATCTACAAAATCTGTTTCATTTGTGGGCATCTGGAGACATTTGCTTAAGAAGAGGGACATCTGGAGATACTTGTCAGGAAGAAGAAATTTGGAATGGGTCTATGGTAGCTGTTATCTTGTACCGCACTGAGTCACACACACTTCTTACAAAGTACTTGGCAAGAGCAACTTATCACTTCATTTCTGTGAATTGCTTTAGCTTAGTAACTCCAACGATTGAGCCAAAGCACACAGGAGAGATAACGTTATTTCTTCCATTGGGCCTTGGGCAAATTGCATAGCATGACCTTAATATAGTTTTGGAATTAAAAACTAATCTCTCCAACTGTAGACTTTGTGACAGAAACTAGCACTTTTAAAAGACAACAATTGCATTTTGCTAACCCAGATACAATTTTTGCAGATGAAACTGTGCACATAAAAATGTATTTGATTTTTTGGGTAGACTTTTTAAAAAAGAAATCATTAATAGGATAGTGCCAAATAGTTTTACGCTATTACCTAAACTCTGAGTTGACTCTTCCACCGGGGTATTTGTACCGGCTTGAATTCAGCAGGTTTAAACTGAGTCAGAGTTCGGAGTGAAAACAAACTGTATTTTTCCTGTACCAGACACCATTTTGTAAATAGCCATTACTCACCTATCCATTAGAGTCACTTTCCTCTAAATTCTACACTCGCTTTATTTAATTTATTAGACTCATATTTATTAGAACTAACTTACCCAACAGGAGCACTCAAAGCAATTAAGACCTAAAAAAGAAAATACCAAAACAAAAANCTCAGGCGCCTCCTGGTGGCCAACCAGCCTCTCTGGTCCCTGCTCGGAGTCTGAACCCTGTCCAGGGTCCTCCACATCTTCCAGAGCTGACTCACAGGGCCCTTGCTGTCAAAGTCTGTTTGCAGCTCCAACGACTCCTGTTGGGCCACAACAGATACCATTAGGTTAGATCCAACTCTTGGTGTCTATGGATCAGTGGTGGGTTTCTGGTGCCCACCCGAGCTCCTTACCTGTCCTTTAAAGCCTTTAGCGCTTTCATGCACGCGCATGGCATGTACAGTGCCTGCGCAACACTCCACCGAGCAGCTGGAGCATCACAGAGGCTTGTGGAAGCGTCTCTGGCAACAACAACACATGTGTGCGCTGCATGCATGTGCGTGCATGCTGCGTGCGTCAATTTGAACGATGCCGGGCGCGTTCCAACTGTACCGGTTGGAACAGGATCCAGAACCCACCACTGCTATGGATAGAAGCAAATATAGTCTTGATCTGTCCCCAAAGATAATCCAGAGCTCTTCCAAGACACTTCTAATGGTAGTCCTCAGCAAACCTCAGTTGGTATATATACTTGCCTGTGAAGATAGTTGTGCAATCAGGACAAGAACTTGTGGAAATAGGCCTTCAGGAGGTCTAGTTCCTAGCCATTCGGGGCTTTATAAATTAAACCAGGACTCTGCGTCAAATTTAGAAACAGACTACATGAATGAACATGATACCATGAAATCATAGAAGGCCAATCAGTCCAATCCCCTCTTCAGTGTTGAAATCCAAATTGAAGTGTCCCAGACAGTCCAGATAAATGGCTTTCTAAATTTCCCATTAATGGAAGTATACCACCTCTTGGACTAATTGGTTTTATTATCAATCTGCTTGTAATGTCAAGATATTTATTTTCTTATCATGTATAGACAAAGTATTGTTATGATAACAGTAAAGGAGGCTACCATATTCTTAGTCTAGTTTTATTGCCTTCAGTAGTGATCTTAAGGGCAGACTATGGATATTCAAAGGTACCAAAGGTTTTATTTATTTATTTATGCAAGATAGATTTGCAGCTTCAACATCAGCTAATCATCCATGATTTAGGAGAGCAAATCTAGCTGTGCCTCTGCCGTATGTGATATATCTAGAACTGGGGTGTCAAACTTGCAGCCCACGGGGTGAAGGCATCACACGCTGGCCATGCCCACCCCTGGTTTAGTGAAGGGGAAAAATATTAAGATTAAGATTAAGATTTAGTTTATTTGTATGCC